GATTAATGACATGGGCAGATGTTCAGAATATACTGTTAATTTTGGGAGTTCTTTTAAAGCAGGTTACCAATAATGTAATATCCTTTGTAAAATAAAAAAAAGAAAATAATATGTGTGTATTCATAGTATGGCATACATATTTGTATGTATATTTGAAGAATGAAAAGTAAAACACTAAAATAAAAGTTTTCTCTAATGTGATTATGAAAACAACCCAAAAAAAAAACAAAAAAAATAGCTTTCTAGTGAAGTTTGATTATAAGAAAAATCTATATAAAGCAAGAAAGCAATATATTTACTAGCTGACATAAAAACATTTAATATTATGGAAACGCTGTAGACTAGAGACACTAATGACAGATTAAAAATTATGAGAAATTATCTCCTATAATAATAAAATTGTTATTTGCTGCATACCTGTTCATCCAGTACTTATGGGTAAGACACTTCAATAGGAGCATTGGAGGAAAAAGATGAAATACAACATTTCTGACCTCAATCTCAAGGGGCATAGAAGTGTACATAAATAAGACAGATACAAACAAAGTATTCTGGGAGTTTCAAGAAGAGGAATACTACTTCCAGTTATTTTGAGGGGAGAGGAGGAAGAGGAAAGAAGACATCACAGAGAAAAAGTCCAGCTCAAGGTCATTTTGGTGCTGAAGTATGTCCCAATTTCCCTAGGATCCATAAGGAAGGACATGAATGGGTGTGAAACAAATGGCAACCAATGCTGTGACAGCCATCTTTAAAATATAAAATCATTTCATATTAAATCAATGCCATAGCAAGGTTTTACACCAGTTGTATTTGACTCGAATGTTTCCATCACACAGCCTTACTATAGTCAGATACTATTACATCTAAACATTTCTTTGTTTTGCTCAGGAACCAAAATATTTGGAGAATAGGACATTGATTTGAATTGAATCATATCTCTAAACCACTGAGTACCATTTAATAAACTGAAAAAGTATATTACATATAGCCACATATGAACTCAGTGAGTCCCCCCCGCCCTAAATTTTTATGCATGAGGTATATTTCCTTAGGCTCTTTCTTTTCAAGACCATGGAGCAGAATATACCGCCACTGTGCAGATTTCAATGTAACCTGTGTAAATCATCCGAACAGTCAGGCAGCTCCTCCACATGAGTCTCCAGGACAGCATTACAGTGAGGTTCTAATATAAATAAATGGATGTAAATTGTGCTTGCAGATAAGAATTCTAATAATGATTCACAATATCACACACGCATCCTTTTTTCACAATGCATGCAAAATGATTTTTCTGGCTTGTCAAAAGGATATTCCATTTCTGCTCGAATGTCGTTGAGACGATGTGATAACTCAGTTAGGTCGTCCTCTTTGTTTTCATCGAATACTCTCAACTGAATATCAAGCTCATCATTCTCTTTTTCTTTCAGATCCTAACATTTAAACATAAAACTTAACAGATGAATAACAGTTTGACAACAGCATATTTTGGTAATAAAGGCCAGACACTATTATTCAATTATATACACAGAAGCAATTCAAATATTGACCCACGCACTTGGTTTCCTGAAAGAAAGTAAAATGTGCTTCGTTTTTCTGTTTTAAAATAAAAGAACCTCATTGCATTCATTGCATTTTCTTTTCATGCCCCAGATTTTGATTATTCACATTAAAAAATTAACAATCACTTTTACAAAGGGAAAAAGAAATAATTGCTAACAACCCAAATTAAATGCTGTCGTTTTGACTAAACATACTAATCAAAGATGGCAAAAGAACTCATGCAGATAGAACATTCGCATATGCCTCTGGCAAAAATGCAAATATGGATCAACTGTATTAATAAAGAACAAATACGAGGATATACTCAAGCACAACAGTCCCAAGTATGGCGTGAAAAGTGAAATAAACAGGTTTATTTTAAATGATATTTTGTGATTTGAAGCAAAAAGGACTTTTTATCAGGCTGATTATCTAGCCTCCTCCCCCACCTTTCATTTTTGCTTAGCCTAATCACAAAATACCAACTTGGGCATCAAAGATTTGTTTTTGTAATACATTATAAGCACATGCATTACACACCTCTGATAATTTTCAAAATAATAATATAAATGAAAAGTTTGGAAGCATGCCACACTAGAGATTGTTGGGCTTAATATATATCACCTGGGATAGCTTTTAATATGTGTCCATTAAGTTGCAGCTTTCAAAACCCAAATGGATAATCACAACTGTGGATGCTCAGAGTGATACCAAAAGTGGGACTAGGATTTTCAGAGCTGAGCTTGAACTCTGAAAGGAAATGTAAGCATGGTGTACTTCAAATTAGGTCACTAAAACAAAATAGGGTGCATTTCTTGTTTCTATTTTTATTCAATAGAACAATTATAAATGGAGATGTAATGGCAAGTACTGAAGCCAAACACAAATTTATGCAATTTCTAGATGTATTTTTCTAACATCCTTAAACATAATAATCAACTGAAAATTTACCTAAATAGCATAGAAAATACTTAATATATATCTATATAATTTCATATAAATATATACCAAATAAATGTATTCATACTAGTGTCCTCTTTAGTAATAACTTGCTTTAGGTCTTGTTTTCCACTTTGAAGGGGAATGAAGTCATTTACTGGAATGCAAAATTGTAAAATTGGTGGGTCATATTCACAGGTGATTTCTGAACTCTGTTCAGAAAACAGCAGAAGCCAGACACACTCAGTATGCTGGTCACTGCACAAACAACCTTTAACACATTTTAGAATATAAACCCTTCATTATTCTTATGCCACATTCCAGTTTTTCTTAGATGTTCACTATAAAACTTGAACATATTCAAATATGTTTGAAAATTTCAAGTTAAATACTGTCATTTAATTAGCATCAGGACTTTATAAAACATGGAACCAATATACATACTTAAATATTTTCAATAAATAACCAATGTCACTCCAATAAATTTAATTAAAAATAAATAAGATAAAAATATTTTCAGTAAAAATAACTGGTGAAATACTTTAATTTAGTTTTAAATTAGAACAATATATTATTTATATAATATATATAGTATGTGAACATATACAGCACAATATACAAATATGAACATGTACAAATGCAATACCTTATGTTGTTTAATAATAACATCCCATTAAAATAAATATATATTCACACACACACACACACACACACAGTGTCCTCAAAAAATGTATGCACATTTTAATAGCTGATAACTCACTTAATTTTCACTCCTTTTAGGTTTAACTGATTTAAAATAATGAGTGAAGCTCGTCTAAGCTTTGAACAAAGAAAATTTATCAAAAAGTGACATTAGACTGTTTTTATAGGGATACATAAAAGATAAAGTTTACGGAACAAAACCGGCAACAGTCAACAAATTGAGGGCACACAAATACCGAACGAAATGATTCTTGATGTTTGTGATTCCAATGCTTCCTGATATTTATCAGCAGTGCCTGGACCAGAATGGCCATCAGTTTGAGAACAGGCATTGACAAAATACTATTCATTTCTGTAGATTCTTTTAAATTTTGAAATGAACTGTATGTTAATAAACACTGACTTTATAATCATTCAAAGTGTGTATGCATATTTTTGGGACACCCTGTATATAACTTCCTTTTAGTCAAATAGCCAACCTTATGAAAGATATATCCATAAATACTGATAAAAATAATCACTTAATAAATTAATAATATTTTTACATATCACAATTGTTACAGATATCCTATAAAAGTAAATGAAAATGCATAACTAGTTTTATGTTTAAAAATGTAACATGTCATATTATGTGTTGTAGAATTATACACATGAAACCAGTATAATTTTGTTAACCAGTGTCCCTCAATAAATTAAATTAAAAAATTATTTTAATGTATATTGTAAAATTACTGAATTACACTATTACTAATTATGTGAAATATTGTAAACATGTTTCAGTTATTTTTTTTAAACAGACTAGGTATATAGATATGGACCACTTTAGGCAGATTCTCTGAAACATATAATTCTCTATAATATAGTATACTTCTGCCCAGTCGGTATGGCTCAGTGGTTGAGCATCAACCTGTGAAACAGAAGGTCTTAGTTCGATTCCTGGTCAGGGCACAAGCCTGGGTTGTGCGCTCCATCCCCAGTGTGGGGAACACAGGAGTCAGCCGATCAATGATTCTCTCTTATCATTGCTGTTTCTATCTCTCTCTCACTCTCCCTTCCTTTTGGAACTCAATAAAAATATATTTAAATACTGGAATGCAAAAGAATAAAGATTCTTCAAAAGAATAAGGAAGGGCTTGTCAGTCTTCTAAAAGACATTAAGAATGCCTGCTGTCTACAGACACAATTTCTTATTTTCATGTTCCTTCTCACATCTGATTTACCTAATATTTTCCTACTTTATTTAACTAAATAAAAGGCCAATGGGGACTTCACAAAAAATCAATGTAAGTTAACTATAGAGCAAATACCATTTTAAAAATCACTGTATAGTGATTCATTTATCCCAAATTACTAAAGCAAATTTATGAAAAGTGAATTTCCACATAAATGAAATATAAACTCCCTTTAAACACTATAATTTATCCATAGAGATGGGGGAATTTTGAAATTAAATTTTTACAGATTATATTAAAATAATTGTCCTTGAGGAGTCTGATAATTACATGAAAGAATGTTTTACTCTATTATAACATTATGGTGGTCTCAGGGGCTACTGAAGTACTAAGAACTATTCTTCCCTATCACTTAATGATTCCAGATAGTAATAATTTTTTATCCATATACCAACTATTAATATTAGCCATGGCCATGTCTAATTGGCTGCTATATTCTAGAATCTCTAATCTCAGGGGTCTGCCTGAATCCAAGTTCTTATCTTCTTCATCAGAAATAGCTGGGAATAATCTTTCTTTAAACAGAACATCTCTTCCCCACCCTCAATAAGATCTTGATAGTCTCTTCTGAGGGGAACGTGACCAAGGTCGTGGCTGAGAACCAGAACCATATGTGGCCATATTTCATTCCATTGTTTTAGGACGAAAAGAAAATTGAGAGTCCTTGTACGTTCTATTTCAAAACTTTAGGAAACAGAAACATGACACTTTCCACATTTCTCCTGCTTTAGAATCACTGAGATCTGAGAAGCAGGGCATATTAAAGAGATGTGATACTTAAAGAAAAATGGACCTAGAGGAATATTTTAAGAATATAGATATTAAGAACCACATGGTGCCACAAGAAGCTTTTTATATGGCTATAGGGCCAATGGGAAAGTGTAGTTTAAAACCACTGATGAAAAATCTTAGCTGTCACTGTAATCAAATGAAGAACCTACCATGGGACCACTGAACCCAGCAGAAATTAAGACACCCAGACAAAAGTGCAAAAGGTAAGTACAAGAGCTACGGTACATACTCTTTCTGAAAAAATGAAGACTTAAATAAATCAAGAGCCACAGTTTTCTTGACCAGCCATTCAGTAATATAAGGAAAAAAATGGTTGTTCAATTATAAATAGACATAGGGGAATAAAAGATGGAAGGGTAATAACAACAACTAAGGCAGAGAACACGGCATATTAGTAAATGAGCAGATGATGTTAAGGAGACCCTTTAGCTAACAAGTGCCCACAAGCATTATTCCTCTCCCAGAACGAGAGGACTAACTCAGGGAGGACAAGCATGAAAACCAGTGAGTAGGCAACTCAAAAGCAAACTAGAACCAAGACTATAACATTCTCTCTAGCTACTGAAGGCCAAAGACTTTTCATGAAGACAGATTTGTGACAAAATGAGAATAAATGTGTTGCACACACTAGAACTGTTATATAATGTGCCTGTTAACTGTGTACTGAAACTTCTCTACGGGTCACTGAAAATATTGCTTTGATTAACCACAACCAATTCCTTGGTTTTTAAATTCAGGGGTTAAAGAACCATTGGATGTGAAAGTAACATAGAAATTTCTAAAATAGAGCCAACCATACACCTGATGAAAACTGATTTCAATAGACCCAATCGTCCATTTTATGATGATGTGCTTAAACTACTTTCAGTTAAGATTGTCACAGCACAAGCAATTGTTGCATACTCCACTCTTGTTCCTCACCAGGAAACACCCCTTATTTTGGTATTTCTAGCGCACCCTAAATCTTATATACATGCTCACTGACATTTGTGTGTTTTTTTTCTTTCCTCCATGCTTTTTTACTTTTACTTCTTGCTTCTCGGGTGTGACCTGAGTAGCTTAAATGAAGAGACTAGTGAGAAATTTTGTCTCCTTTAACATTGCTATGGTCTGGAAAAAAAATCATTCTTCAATTAACATTAAATAAAATATAAAGTCATAGTTGTTGCATTTGTATTCAAAGAATAAGTGTGTTCATTAATCTGAGATCAAACCTATAAAGTTATTTCAAAAATGTTTTTAACAGTAGTATAATTAGAGCAAATGTTCACATAAAATTGTTTTTTCTTTAAAAAAGTCCACATGGCTCTGTAATAAGAATACCAAACTTAAGCAATGTGTCCAGAGTATACTAATCAAAATTATATGCATACTTATGCTGAATATAAATGAAATCAATGTAAGTTATCAAAGAAAAAAGGCAAAAATGTTTAAATGAAAATTGAAACTACAAAAATAAAAGTGTAGTCTTTTATGTTTTCAGTATTTATATCCAAAGAAAAGAAGTTCCATTTGGCTCCAGGAAGGGAAAAATCACTTCCGGACACAGCACCAACCAGATGCATTCTAAATTGTCAGCTGCATATAAAAACTGATATTACTGCAATTAATAAAGCTTACAAAATGTTTAAAGCTTTACAAAAGAAAATAGCAAGGCACAAGTACTTACTCTGTTGCAAGTCTAAAAATGGAAAGTGTTAAAGTTCATCAGCATAATAAATGTGTACACTCAACTTACTGGTAATATTGTCTTTAGTCCAGAACGGAGGAACTCATTCCTTAAATGTATTCGAAAATCAAGCTCATAAGGAAAAGTGACAAGGGCATTTATAAACTGCATGCAAGCCACCTGCAATTAGAAAGCAAACCTTATTTTAATGTTTTTAATTAAATAAATAATGCATTCAGACCATTATTTTTCCATTTACTAAAGGCATACATACATATAAAAATAAGAAAAATGCAAATATTTATAAAAGTTTAAGGACGATTATTATTTTAAAGTATAAGCAACAAAATGAATAAAATTTCTAATGTGCAGAATAATTCTAATGAAGATATGGATGGTCAAGTACTTCTATGCTTTGCTGACCAATATGAATAAATATTAAACTCTCTCTTTAGAAACTCAAAACTCTAAAAGTATGCATAGAAAGCACTTTAGAAAGATCATGAAATGTATCTTGCATATCCAGGTATCCTCAGGTAAACTAGCCTCAATCCTATATGGTTATAATACTTTTCCAAAATAAATAAAAAGTTATAAAAGTTCCATAATATTAAACAGGCAACAGTGATAAATTAGAGAAATAATTACACTGATTTATATTCTCTCTATTCTATTATTGGAATGGATTTGCACAAAATTCAGAGTATTAAAATATATGATTAAGATGAATTAATTTGTTATGTATAAAAGTGAATTAAGATCAACTAGAAGGTACTGTGATGCCAATACTAATGTGCATGCCTGATAAAGTAAATATAAGGCTTCTTTTCCAGTGAAGGTGATTCATTAATTATATTGACACTGGAAAATGGGTTTTGCTTTTCTTACCTTCTGATATTGAGGCTCTCAACTATAAAAGGGAAATTATTTTCTGGTAATTGCAAGCTAAAAGGGAATTAACAAAATGCTAATTGCCAGGTGTTCCATGCATTATTCCTGAATAGCATTTTTTAAAAATGCTGCTCAAGTCTAAGGCAACTGGCTAATAGTTTAAGTCAGTGGTTCTCAACCTTCCTAATGCCATGACCCTTTAATACAGTTCCTCATGTTGTGGTGACCCCCAATTTCATTGTTACAAATTGAACATAATTAAAGCATAGTGATTAATCACAAAAACAATATGTCATTATATATGTGTTTTCCGATGGTCTTAGGTCACTGACCCCTGTGAAAGGGTCGTTCGACCCCCAAAGGGGTCGCGACCCACAGGTTAAAAACTGCTGGTTTAAGTGAAGACCACACATTTAAATCGATTATTTTTAAAGTATGCAATGAGTGGTGGACCGAGTGCTCAAAGAGCTGACTGCAAGGGGATTCCTGGAAAATACCAGATTTAGTAAAGATGCCAAGTATTTATAGAAGGGAGCACCCATAAATCAATAGTTAGTATGGTCTCTACTCTATCTGCATAGTGTACCCAAGACCCTGGGGACTCCTCTGGGTGGCAGGCTGATGTCTGTCTTCTCCCCTCTTTGATTCCCCACTTACAAACCGAGCTGTCCCTGAATATACCAGCTCCTGGATGTCCCACAGGGATGCCAGACTGACCAGGTAACCCCCGCTAAATCCTCAAGCCATCTTTCCTTCTCAGAGGGAGAACCAAGCTCCTGAGGCTGCCAAGACGAAATAAGCATAGAGTCTAGGGGTTGGCAAACTACGGACCACAGGCCAGCCGCAGCCCACAGTTCTAATGTGGCGAGCTGCCTGCTTGTGCCAATAAAGTTTTATTGAATCACAAACATCATTAAAAAAATTTAAAAAAAACGTATTTCAAATGTATTTTGATTTCACTTGTCCAGACCTATTATTATGACAATTATTTTTTCAAATAGAAAGAAAAGATTAAAAGGTATATTGTGCCCTGGCCAGTGTGGCTCAGTTGGTTGGTGTGTTGTTTGGTACACCAAAAGGTGGTGGGCTAGGTTCCCGGTCAGGGCATGTACTCAGGTGGTGGGTTCAATCCCTGCTCCGGACGCATTTGGCATGTTTCTCTCTCTTTCTCACTCTCTCTCTACATCGCCTTCCCTCTCTCTAAGATCAATTTTTTAAAATG